TAGTCCTTCTTTTCATTAAACTAGACATACCCAGTTCCTGCAATTGTTCTTCATATGTTTTAGTCTCCAGTTTTAGTCTCTTTGTTGTTCTTCTCTGCATTCTTTCTAGAATCTCCACATCTTTTCTACATCGTGGCGACCAATATTGACCAATAGATGCAGTATTCCAAGTGTGGCCTTACCAAGGCATTATAAAGTGGTATTAACACTTCATGTGATCTTGATTCTATCCCTCTGTTTATGCAGTTTAGAACTGTGTTGGCTTTTTTGGCAGCTGCTGCACATGGCTGGCTCATATTTAAATGGTTGTCCATTAGGACTCCAAGATCCCTTTCACAGTTACTACTGTTGAGCAAGGTACCACCTATACTGTAACTGTGCTGTAAGAGCAATGGACAGGCTATGGAGGTGCCAGCAGCAGCAAAGAGAAATGGCTGGGTCAGGCCAGTGTCTTGGGGCTGAGGGGAAGTCACGTGTCTCCCTGTGCCACCAAGGTGCACCAACAAGGGCTGGAAGAAATGCCCACGAGACCCAGCAAGAGATGAAGCTTGGCTCTCATTCTGGAATATGGAGTAAATCTCCATCCCCGCCCCCTTTTCCCTTCCCTTCTCAGGCCAGGCGAGTAGTGACTGGGAGGGGAGTTCGACGGGCTGGGCCAGCCAGGGGTGGGTTTAGCTAACAGGAAGCCACAGCAGAGGGACCAAAGAACTGCGGGTTGTCGATACCCATTGCTTCGGTCTGCCTGTGCCGCCACCCCACTTGCCACAACAGCACTACTCCTTGCTTGTCCACCACCTGCAAAGTTGCAAGTTGCACGTAGAGGTGGAGATTTTCAACTCCACCACAGGCTGCCTGGCCAGTCACATATTTCAGAGCTCTAGTCACAGGACTGGCCTATTGGTTATCCCAGAGCAGCTCCTCCACCTGGGTGCACTGCGGACCACCAAAATTTTCTCACAGACCACCAGTTGGTGATCTGCTTTAGATGATTGGTTGGACAAACTCGATTAGATTAATTTGTCATCCAAACAAGAGCTTTGTTACAAAATTGTTTGAAGTTTGAAGTTTGATCTATTGGTAAAACGTAGTTCAGGTTGACAGCATACAAAACTACCACATGATTTGACTGCATATTATTGTAGACAATTATTGTAGAGCATAGTTTACAAAATTGGTATAATTATTATTTATTTTACTTTTATAATTAATAATTGTGATACGTTGTATAATTATTGCTTCAATCCCAAAGGTCTCAAAATGGTGTGCTAAATTTGTTGAAACAGGCAGGAGTTTGGGTCCTAAGGCTGAATAAGCATTGGACGTTTGGCCTCCCTGCCATAAAAGTCTAGCTACAGGGGGCTTTGTGGGGCAGGGTGCTGGTTGAACACACTGTCTAACACATGCCCTGTGCCAGCTGATTTGTTACAATACAGGCCAGGTTACGATCGTGGCTTAAGAACGAGGGGAGGGCATAAAGGGTGTGCCTCATGTTGGGGATAGCAGTTTGCTTCTCCTGAGTGCCTAAGAACTTGAGTTTCAATAGAAGAAGTTGAGTTTATTGTAATGGCTTATTTGCAGGTGGTTGTGGTCCTTTCAGGAAGATAACAATACAGTACTTTTAATTTTTCCAATTTTTCACACATGTAGTACTAACAGATGTATCACTCCTGGAATATTTGCCAGGTATATATTGAGAAAACTGGTGTAAGTGAAAGAAAAAGGATTCTGTTTTTCCATTGTGTATTTCTGTCTAATATGGGGCGCACTAATACTTCCGTCTCAGAGTTGCTCATAGCAATAGCACTTAGACTTATATACCGCTTTACAGCCTTCTCTAAACAGTTTACAGTGTCAGCCTTTTGCCCCCAACAATCTGGGTCCTTATTTTACCCACCTCAGAAGGATGGAAGGCCGAGTCAATGTTGAACCGGTCAGGATCGACGACCTGGCTGTGGGCAGAGTTTGCCTGCAATACTGCAGTTTAACCATTGTGCCACCAAACCGCTCACGAGCAGTTTATGTGATGCTTGCAGGTACACCCTAATGTATTAGCTAAGGTGGCTTTTCTCAGAGTTCAGTATGACTGGAGAGGAAACGTTTATCTCGTCAAAATGGAGATATTTTACACTATGAATTCCATATTCTAAGTTTTCCTTTGAGAATATTTTTTTCATTGGTGTATACTTTTTACCTTAATCTTAAGAATTCTCAAGCTTTGATGAAACCCTAAAATGATAGATGAATTTGTGTGACCCTAATTACCACGAATAAAACTTAATGATTTCATTGGAGTTAATTGTACAGAAGAAATATACCACATTTTAAATGATTACATTTTAATTTATCATATAAAGCTATGATACAACATTTCAACTTTATAAAATAAAGCCTTTTCATTGGAAATAAAACAATTATTCATAATTTTAAATAATGCATAGTTTGAAAGGATTTTCAAAATGCTTGGGCTCTAGTTTTAAGTTGGCCACTCTTAATTTCTCATTACAGGTTTATTATGGATCAATATATGCCAATAATAGCTTCAGCAGAATTTTACTGCTGGCTTGTCCATGTGCCACAGGAGCACCTTACAGTGATGGTGCACATGATCTGAAACTTGTGCAAATTATCTGGAGTCTTGTCAGAACCCTTTTAAGCTTTATTTGGCTTAAAGCAACTGCCAGTTTGTCCCGCAGAATAGGAGATGGTAATGCCAAGAACTTTGTGTGTCTAAACCATCAGGCCAGACTCTGGCTTTGCTTCAGATTTTGCTTGGACTAGCTAGCAGCTGGCTTCTGCAGGGGGAGCGGGCACATGGTGAGCCCAATTTTAGTTTTGGCATTCAATCTGTCCCTTTGTCAGGGTGCATCCTTGGCTTGCTGGGTCAGCTGGCTGTCAGCTTGTCTAGAAATCCATTCATTGATTAGGATCAACATTCTGGCATGTTCTTCTGTGGAGCCAAAACTGATATCCGCTTAATTGCGTTTGAACTTTACCCCTATGTCCCCTCCCCTCTGTGTCATAAATCACATTCACCAACAAGGTTGTAGAAATATGAGATCTGACTCTGGCCGAAGGTATGCATGGAATCCTTCCTCCAATGCCAACATGATAATAGTCATGGCAACGCTTTACAAGCTGACAGGTGGATTGCAGGCGGTATGCCCTGGTACGGGCATTCTGAAGCCTGCCTGGAGCACTGGGTACCATTCCAGTACGGTGCTCCAGAGGGCCCACCCGCCTGCCCGCGCTTCTTACCTGTCTTTAAACCCTTCAGTGCTTCCGCGCAAGGCGCATACAGGATTTTCTGCATGGAATTTTAGCCCTTCCACGATTAAGTATTGGAGTTGTCTCCTGTGCCACCTCGAATCAAGGACTCGTTGAACTTCATAATGGGTTTGGCCTCCTATGACCACAGGACCAGGGGCTCCCGGGGTAGTGAGAGCCGAGGTGGCGCAGTGGTTAAATGCAGCACTGCAGGCTACTTCAGCTGACTGCAGTTCTGCAGTTCGGCTGTTCAAATCTCACCGGCTCGGGGTTGACTCAGCCTTCCATCCTTCCGACGTGGGTAAAATGAGGACCCGGATTGTTGGGAGCAATATGCTGACTCTGTAAACCGCTTAGAGAGGATGAAGCGGTATATAAGTCTAACTGCTATTGCTATTGCTAGTGGTCTCAGAGTGGATCTGATCACCGGTTTTAAGAGGCTACTATTAAACGCCAGGTGTATCTTCCCCAGCAATTGAGGCAGTTTCAATTGCACTGTGACTGGGTTGATGATCTTTACTATGGGGAATGGTCCCATAAACTTTGGCCCCAGTTTCTTGCTAGGCAGTTTTAATCTCAAATATTTTGTGGAGAGGTAAACCTTCTCTCCCACCCGGAATGGCCGTTGCAGAGCCCTACAAAATGCAGACAGGATTACGGCCATTTCAATCTTGGTGGGTGGGAGAAGATGCTCTTCCATTTGGGTGAGGAGGAGTGACTTTGTGTAGAGTGCTAGGCTTATCTTTAGGGAGACGGTATCAGCCTTGTAGCATTTTGGTCGCTATTTGGACTGTTGTTTAATTACATTTTGATTTTCCACTTTTTCTACTGCCAACTGAGAATTTTCACACGTTAATGTTTATTTACATCTATTTAATACTGTTTTCTGTAAGCTCCTTTTCAGCACTTAGTTGCATTTGAAAGAGATCAGTGTTATTACATTGACTCGGTTTATATGTCTGTCTGTGTGTCTGTGTCTGTCTATCTTTGGTTATTCGGGTTTTCTCCCGCGTAAAATTGGAGGTGTCTTGGCGACGTTTCGACGAACGTCAAAAAGATGGAGGGCTGAGTCAACCTTGAGCTGGTCAGGATCAAACTCTTGGCAGTGAGTTAGCCTGCAGTACTGCATTCTACCCACTGTGCCACCACAGTTCTATGGACTATTGCTAGTTGTCTTGAGATGCTGATTTGAGATTCTTTTAGTCTCTATGACTAGAGGATTGACCTTTTCTTAAAATATCCTGTTCGATGAATTGTTTTGGTCTAGCTAGTTAGCTTAGAAAATGTTGGACTGATTAAGGTTAAATAGTGTTGGACTGCTGGTTAAAGGATAAAGTGGACAGGAAAAAAACTGATATTAAGAATCTCTCCTTTATCAATTAGCACTTGGAATTTTCTTGGCACTGAGCAAATGCAGTCCCCAAAGCCTCGGTATCTTTTGCTGTATGCTGTTTCCTTCCTTCCTTCCTTCCTTCCTTCCTTCCTTCCTTCCTTCTTTCTTTCTTTCTTTCTTTCTTTCTTTCATTAGCAAAAAATAGATTCCAAAATGTTGTTAGTATCAGAATCTTCCTCCTAACTGTGATGTTTTGATTAATGTTCTGTTCTACTGAATTTCAGACCCCGTCCAGGAGTTGCACACGCTGGTAAATACAGTCGCGTCTGAATCCAGTTACAACCACCCAACAGACTTGACCGTAAGGTACGATGCCTCTGAGAGAACAGGCAGAACTCAGTGGCAAGTTTTCCTGGGAAGTAGCTTTGCAGATCTCATAGCATGTAAAAATAGGTATCATTATTTCAATTTTGAGGAACTAGAATTTACTATCTTATCAGGTTGGCAAAATATCCTTACTTACACGTACTGATATTTGGGTGACAAAGATCACAGTGTAGTTGAATAACAGTGAGATTTCTGGATGTGCTCTTTTTGAGCATTTATTTCGCTGAGGTGAACAATAATTGAATAAAACAAATGGGGGATAAAATTATAGAACTGAAAAAAGAATATTTTTATAATGTGAGAAATCATTATAAAAGTAATTATTTTAAAAAGATAATGTCTTGAAGCATCTATTTGACTCTAAGCATAGCCTTTAAATCTGAAAAAATCCAGGGGAGGAAGAGGAAGGTTAATACCCAGGGTAGAACAATTCCTTGACATGCTAGCTAAACATCTTTAGAAACAGGCAGCAGAATCTGATCTGCCTGAACATTCTTCTCCTCTCCTGAACTACAGGACAAGCAGTCCTCGACTTATCATTGTAATGAAGCTGCCCATTACAGTTGTATGTCATGACGGTCATAAAGTAGGTCACCCTCCTGATTGACCTGATTACGACCTTTTTGCGGTGATGGTTAAGTGAATGTGGCAGTCATTAAGCAAATTCATCCAAAAACTGGAAGCAAACACCAGTTTTCAGCAAAAACTTTGTAAATTGCATTCACATGCAGACAGCCATAAAATGTAGGCTTATTGCCAAGGGTACAAAATGCAGTCATATGACCGTGGTGTGTGTGCCATAACTTCAGAACCAGGTTGTAAATACCTTTGGGGAGGATCCACTATAATTTTGTATAGTCACTAAGGAACCGGTCATAAGTTGAGCATTAGTTCTATCAGTCATGAAGACTCAGAACAGCAAAGAAAACCTTTCTAAAGCAATGATAGTTCTTTGAATTCTGCTCAACATGGTAGTTTTGTTGAAAGATAATCTGACACATTTCTAATAAAAAAATAATACAAATTTCTTGAGAAATGTGCCTCCGTGGGTTTGACAATGGCTATGGCGTGGAGGCTGCAGTTTCTGAAATGGGACTGGGTCAGGTCAAGAAAGAGAAAGCAGACACTCTAAGGCCTAAAAGGAAACAGAAGGCAGGCTAGGAAGGGGATCCGGTCCATAGTTTCCATGCTCCGTTTATCAGTGTCCCAGGTTGAAAAGTGAGGACGGGGCTCCCAGTATTTGTGTGGAAAGCTTCATCAAGAAAAGGGGAGGTGGGACTGTTTCCAGGATTGGGTTGCTGCTTTTTTGTCTCCCAAGTTTTGCACTGACGTTTTTTTCTTTCTTCCTTTTTTTGTAAAATGCCCTCCCTAAACAGGAACTACAGCAAACGGAGTCACAGCAAAACTCAGAGATTCAGTCTCAACCAGTGGGTTGAGCACAGCAGGAGCAACTTTGGCCGGTTTGATGGCATTCCTGATCACTTTGAGCGCAGCCCAATCCTAAGCTAGGGGAGATTTTATTCAAAGTTGTTCGTACTGGCAATTCAATTTAATTAGTGTTTGTGTGTGTTATTAATATGAAGGCCAATTTAATGTATTTATTTTTATTACAAATATTTGTTCACTTTGTCCTAGATCTTTTTCACTGCTGAATATTTTAGAAATGTTGTGTTTTTACTACTCTATTTCATATTGCACCTTGTATATGTTTTGCTTGTTTTAAAATTCTGGGACCTATTATCCTTTTTGCCCTTCTGTGCTTACTGCTTGATTGTGTCCAGATTAATTGTCTACTATTCTGTTTTTAAAATTTGATGGAAAATCTAGGCACTCTGACTTTATCGTTACACATTGACAATGAAGAACAATGATACCAATTCAGATTCCATGGGCAAATATCTCATATTCTTTCAGATACATAATGGAGGCCACTCACACATTCAGCTGCTAAGGTTTGAGGCTACAAATAAAGGAAGGAAGCAGCATTTGATGAATTGGAAAATTATTCACCTCTTCTTGAAATGCTCATATGTATAATACCCTGCTTCCACGAAAATAAGACCTCCCCGGATAATAAGCCCAATCGGGCTTTTGAGCGCATGATCTAAAATAAGCCCTCCCCAAAAATATTACAGCACAACAGCAGCCACGAGGTGACCACGCTCTCTGCCTCCTGCACCTCAAAAATAATCAGACCTCCCCGAAAATAAGGCCAAGAGCTTACTTCGGGAGTCAAAAGAAAATAAGACCTTGTTTTATTTTTTTGGGAAACACGGTAGGCTTTAGAGGATTGCTTAAAATGTAGAAGCCTTCATCATTCCCTCTAATAGCAAAAGCCAGCTATTGCAAGTGACATGAACATGTCCTAAATTAAAGTAATGGTTAATATATATTTAGGGCAGTTTTGAATGTTATTGTTACGTAGAAACAGAGGCTCAGCAGCCTTGGGCAGATGCTTATATACAATAATGCGGTATTTTGCATAAAAAAACCAGGCATTTCTTGTTTTTCTGTGCTTTAGCCATCTGTACAACTTAGGCCAAACCCTGTCCTTTCTTAAACCCTTGTGCTCTTATAGGAAACATTAGTGAAGGACAGAAATAACAGAAGTCCTCCATATCTGTTCTCCAGGTTGATATAGATGAGAAAAAACAAGCACAGAGCCTTCGGGAAAACAATTCTTTGCTCTGGTTCTAGAAAAAAACAGCAAAAATGGCAGCATCTTGTGACATAAGATTTAGCTTTCTGCTTCTGTCTTTCAAAAGTGGAGGATCCTCTTTCTAAACTAAGCCTTTGATGGAGAGTCCCTGCTGTGGCTCTAATCCACCACTCTGTGGGGACCAAGAGCGCTCTTGTTCTGCAGCGCATGGCACTTGGCAGAAGAAAACCGCCTTCCTTTCTTTTTGCTTTTTACCTTGAGTCATTGTTGACTCCTGGTGACTGTCCGGACACTAATCACTGAAGAGTTTTTGGCTACCTTTTTCAGAAGTGATTTGCCTTCGGAGGCTGCAAGAGGGCCTGGCCTAAGGTCCTCAGCTCCTTTTTGGCCTAAGGCGGAATTAGAAATTACAGTCTCAGAGGTTTGAGCCTCATTCCTTACTAAACACTAAGCGAAACTAGCTGGCTTCACCATTCTCGTAGAGTTCAGAAGAATTTAAAAAGTAAACAGCTTTTGGCCTTACTTTTCTCACATTTCAGCAAAATTTGAGTGGAAATGGCCTGTTTGAATGTGGCCTGTATATGCAAAAATATTGGGGTTAAGCTGGTTATGAAGAATGGATAAAGACCGTCTAGATTTAATTTGCATTATTATTTGGAAATCAACACTGAAATAGTCTATTTTGAGGACGGTGTGGCTTTTCAATCCCATGTATCCTATAATGCTATATTTCCAATTATTCTGCACAAGTGACTTCCTTTTCTTTTCTGGATCATGATAATAAGAAATACATAGTTGTATTGCTAAGCTGCATCTTAGCCAAGCTATAAATAAGCCACCAGTTTCCCAAGGTTTTCTTTCCCAGCATGGCCATAAAACGTTGAGTGGGAAAATCCTAACCGCTGTTTGTCTAACTCTGGGGAACCACCACCTGCTTGGTTCTGTTACTAATGGGCAATGTTGTGAGCAACTCTGAATCAGTGCAGGTAGTCATCGACTTACGACCACGATCAAGGTCAAGAGTTGGGGTTGTAAAAAAAGCACAGCCCGCCCTTCCACTAGACGCTTCCAGGACTACTTCATAGGGATAGCCCACAACTCAGAGCTGCGACCTCTGAGGAAGCAGCTTCTCCCATTTCCTTAGGAACTTTTAAGGCACCCCAGCAGGGAGACTAATACTGTTGCAGTGCCAGCTGCAACAGATCCAGCTGGTGATCGACTTGTTTCTGTTCCTGATGGAGGTGAGAATCCAGGAGGAGGATACGGAAGTGTCTTGCTGGCGGTCACGGTTTTTTGTTCCTAAACAGTGGCTTTCAAGGCATGTGCTTGAGGTATCTGCTGTTTTGCATTTTTCAAAATGATGGGAGACCGGAAAGCTTGCCCCTTGGCAGCAGCGGATTCCGGGGGGGCCAGGTGGAACTCCCTTCTCTCCTGGAGGGCCCAGGGCCTTCCCCTCAGGCTCTGCACGTCAAGAAGGCAAGCTGCCTTTCTGGGGTGGGGAGGGATGATGCTGCATCCTTGCACTACAGATTGTCCTTGGTTAAGAATGTCCAACTTAGGGACGACTCAGACTTACAGACCAGACGGCTGTTGCTAAAAATGTTGAATGGCATTCTTTAGTGTCAGATGGCTGGAGCCACACATTTCTACTACCCAGCTGTTTTCGTTGCTCCTGAGAACATCGCGCAGCTTCAGCGTTTGTCAACTTGAGAAAGGAGAACATCACCATTTTTAGGCAGTTCATTTGTAAGTAAAAGTTACTTCTCCACATCCCAAGTTCTAATTTACATATAGAATCAAGTTAAAAGGAATGGGTCTTATTTTTAACTTGTGTTGTTGATCTTGGCTGGTGAATGACCCAGGGAGGCGCATCTGTGAGCCACAGGCTGGCTCAGAGGAGCACCTCTGCGGAGGAGTGCCTGCAGCCAGGCACCTTTAGGGGGTCCCTACTGTCATCACTGATGCTGGACTGATGCTAATGTCCAGCTAATGTGATCCTAATGCTGGACGGAAGAGATGGCTCTAACCGGACCCATTTCTTTTTTCTTTTTAATTAAAAGTTTTAAAAAGGTTTTACAAATATTTATCTCCCCTCCCGCCCCCAGAACCCACCTCCTCCCCCCTGCAATCTCCCAGAGCAAATACAGGGTATAAATCTTTAATAACCATATTCTAAAATAAACTAACAGACTTTAGCATCATCCCTCACTTGTACTTTAACTCCCCTTTTGTTAATCTAACTCTAAACAACTTATATCATTCCTTGCTCATTCAGTCATAAGCTATCTGGAGTTTCTTAGTCCCATATTTATTTTGAATATAATTGATCCATCTTCTTCACTCCCGCTTATATTTCTCGCCTGAATGATCCTTGAGATATGCTGATATTTT